GTTATATAAACCTGCATGCATTGATACACATCTACAATGACAAGTACATATACTATATGTTGTTGTAATAATACAAATAATAAAATCTTTTAAAACAACAACTGTGGACTTAATGCTCTTGCACAGGACCCAAGTTTGGATCCCAACACTTATATCAGCCAGCTCACAACCACGTATTTATAACTCCAGTTCCAGGGGAGCTGACACTCTCTAAACTCTGTGGATACCTGTGCATAAACATACATACACAGATACATAATCAAAAACTTGTTTTGCAAAAAATCTTTAAGAATATAAAAGTAAATTAACTAATGAGGCCAGGTGTAGTAGCACACACCCTGAATCAGGAGACAGAGGTAGGAAGATCACAGTATGTTTGAAGCTAATCAAAGCTACATACAAAAAGGAGAAAAAAAAAAAAAAATGGAAAGCCAGTTGCTCTAATTCATTTGCCTAGAGCACAATGATTCTCAACCTTCCTAATGCTGAAACCCTTAATACAGTCCCTCATGTTGTGGTAATTCCCAACCATAAAATTATTTTCATTGCTACTTCATAACTGATTTTGCTACTGTTATGAATTGTAAATATCTGTGACTTCTAATGGTGCTAGGTGATCCCTATGAAAAGGTCATTTGAGATCCCTGGGGATGTGACCCCCAGGTTTCAAACCACTGGTCTAGGAAGTTTCCTAATAGAAATAAAGTGGTTGAATACTATTGCAAAAGGGGCTATTTCAAGATTTTTTTTTTAACTACTAGTAAGAGGTTCCTGAAAGTAAATCACAATTAAACTATAATTTTTTTCTTCTCATTCATAACAATAAATTATGAAATATTAGCTTTCATCACAGAAAAACAGTAGTTTATTTCATAATAGAAGAACATTATTGACAAAAATCTACAGAATCTTTAGAAAACATAAAACTCAACAGTATATTCAATATTTACAGCTCAAAAAAAAAAAAAAATAGCCAGTCCTCCAGTCACCAATGCTTAACAAGAAACAGACAAGACATACCACTTTATAAACAAGTAAATCCTGACTAATATCTAAAACAACTGTTTTCAGTCAGTGAACAGCAGTCAGCTGATAACAGAATTCCAAGAAGAGAACAAACAAAATGCGCTATCTACCTGAAGGTGATCTCTCCATCATGGACACAGTCAGGAAAAATCCTCACAGAGCCTAAAGATTTGATGACCTTATTAAGGCATGAAATAGCAGGCCAAAAAGATTGTGCAGGAGGGAGGGAGGGGAGGAAAGGGGGAGGGGGAAACCTGCATAGGGCTTCCCTGGAGTCTTTGCTGAGTACTAAGCCAAAGTATGTGAGGTGAGGAACGGGGGAGAGAAGAGTGGAGGAGAGAAAGTGGGGGGGGGGGGGCACCAGGCTAACAGGGATATAAGAAACACTTCAGGCAGGTCAGAAACAGCAGAGAAATGCCCTAACCCCAAGCAGTCAAATGGAAAGGCTCATAGGGGCCTCTGCTCCATCCAGACCAGATTAAATATTCTGTAAAGCTGACTGCACGTGGCCTAGCAGACCTTTGGTTTCTGTTGTTAGTGTTGGAGAGTGTCTCACTATGCATCCCCAGCTGGCCTGGAACTCACTACAGACAAGATTGGACTCAAACTCAGAGATCCACCTGCCTCAGTTTCTTGAGTGCTGGAATTAAAGACATGAGCTATCACAGCTGGCCCTATCGGGGCTTTAAAATGGGGTCTGAAGGAATCAGACCTACAAACCACTACTTCCCTAAATAAAACCCAACACCAAAAAAAAAAAAAAAAAAAAAAAAAAAAAAGCCAAGCTTCAGACACTCATCAACAAAATATTATAGTGCTCATTATCCACTCAAAAATTATTTTGACCTAAAACCAGAAAAACAAAGTTAGTTCAAAAGTAGATTCAAGAAGTAGCACAACAAATACATGAAAACAGCAATTGGATCCACGTGCATGTACTTAAAGAGAAGCACAGTAATGAGAAGAAGGAAATGCCAAAAACCAATGGAGGGCTATGCTCTCTGTAGCTCAGGGGATATAGTGCTTTTCCAGCCTGAACAAAGCCTCCTGAATTTCATCCCAAGCAACATAATCCAAGCATAGTGATAAAAAGCACTCAAGAGGAAAAGGCATGAGGTTCTAAGGACGCTCAAGGTCATCCTCAGTTACATAAAAATTCAAGGTAAGCTTGGAATGGTGAGAGCTTATCTTTAAAAACAGTATTTTTACTTAATTTCTTACTGTATGTATGTAGATGTGCTGGAAGTGAGACAGTGCCATGTGTGGAGGTCAGGAGACAATTCTGGGTATGGAACTCAGGTCATCAGAGGTGCAACAAGCATTCTACCCTCAGCCATCTCTCCAAGCCCTGCAAAGGTGGGTTCTTTTTTTTTTTTTTTTCAATCAGGAGATAAACAAGATACATTTTCCACTGGGATGCCTATAACTAGAAGATAGACAATAATATACACGGGGGATGAAGAGCTGGCTCAGCATCTAAGAGCACTTGTTGCTCTTTTAGAGGAAGCAGCACCAATATGTTAGTTCAAAACCATGTTTAGCTCCAGTCCCTGTAGATCCAAAGCCCTCCTCTGACCTCCGTGAGCACTATACAACATGAGGTACACAAACACACATGCAGGCAAAATACTCATATGCATAAAATAATAAAATAAATATATCTAAAATTTTTTGAATAATAATAAACACTGACTCATTTGATGATGTTGGGTAGATTTTAAAGAGATGCAGCAGCTTTGAGAAGTAGTCAACCAGTTTCACAATACAGTAGAACCCAGAGCTATAGCATTCACTCAAAGGTATATTCCCAAGAGAACTTAGGGAGTAGAGCCCACATTAAGGCACCTATAGAGCTTTATTCAAATAACTAAATAATGAAAAGAACCCAAATGTCTGCCAAATGATGCAAAATAAAATGCAGTCCAACCACACAGTGGAAAAAAGGAGTGAGGTACTGACTCAGCCAAAGCATGGCTGAACCCTGAAAACACTGCAAGAGGGAGCCATCAAACACAGAAGGCCACACACCGTTCGACTCCCTTTAAGTGAGATATTCACAAAATGCAAGCATACGGATGTAAAGTAAATTGGTTCTGCTCACTCTAAGGGAAGAAAGAATGGGAACAAGATTTATTTTGAGGTGAATGACATGTTCTACAGTGAAGGCAGTGGCATAGCCTCGTGAATGTTCTAAAACAACACTAAGCTGTACACATAAAATGATGGATGTTGTAGAATAGGAAAAAACCATTATTTAATATTTAAATTATTTAATTTTATTTTATTTATTCATTTTAAATAATGTTAAATCTAAGATAAATTTCATTTATTTATTTATTTATTTTGTTATTTAAATAAGTAAAGAATTCACAGCTATCACACTAATCCAAAAAGAGATAGTAAAGAACTTGGGTCTATGTAAAGAAACAAGAGTTCCAGGATCACTTAAAATATATAAACAAATACTTTTTAATCTTATTCTTAAAATATGTTAACATAAATATTTATGTAGCACAAATTCCAGTTGGTCTTAATAATAAAAACCCAGAGACAGATATTAGGTTTCAAGCTGAAGGTCAGAGAAGCAAAGCAGCCAGCGCTAACCTGTACCAATGCTCAGACTGAAGGAGGACCCTGTCCTCAGACTGCATCTCCAGACTGCATCTGCCTCCACCAAACCTCAGACTGCACGGAGCTCGTCTCCTCCAGCCTTACATTCCTCTCTAGTGCTGGGATTAAAGGGTGGGATCCCAAGTGCTGAGATCTCCTTCATGTGAACTCTGCCTCTCTTTCAGACTGGATCATTTTCATGTACCTCAGGGTAGCCTTGAACTAACAGAGATCTGTCTGCTTCTGTCTCAGAGTGCTGGGACTAAAGGTGTGTGCCACCACTGCCTGGCCTCTGTGGCTAACTAGTGTGTGTCTAGCTTTGTACTCTCATCTTCAGGCAAGCCCTTATTTATTGGATCATAAACAAAATATCACCACATTTCATAGCAAAAACACAAGTGTATTAGAGGCACTATGCCATATTCTGAAATAAGAGCAATGACAACAATAACAAGGAATGGAGGGTAAGCTGAGGTATAGTTTTAAATTTTTAATTGACAAGTAATGATTACATACTAAATATGGGTACAGTGAGATAATTTCATGTATACAACAGGTAATGACTAAATCTATAAAGCATTTCCATTTAAATGGGTATTACTATTACAAGAACCTTCTGTTATGTGTGATTTGCCATAATTTTTTGAAGATTCACTGTAAGTTAGAGGATTAATATAAACTTAGAAGCAATCATTTTAAAGAAATAAAATGGTGTGGATTATAAAGCATTAGTAAAGCTATGATAGAATCCTAAAATCTAGCTAACTGATTGAGATGAAAGCAGATACATAGAGAAAGAACAAGTAACAGTGAGGACAAATGAATAATAAATTAGACTGAAAGCCATATACAGAGAAGTGAATCAGGTATAAAAGATTTAAGGGGCTCAACTAAAAAACAGATTGTCACATGTGTGACCTTTAAAAAAAAATAGCAAGATCAAGCCACACTTGGTAACACACACTGACAATCTCTTAGATCCAAAAGAGAAAAAAAAATTAATAGGCCTATACTCCTCAAACCTGATGAGGTTACAGAAGTCAGGGAAAGACTGAAGACAGCTCAAGATGCAAGAGGGGCACCAGAGAGATGGGGCAGTGGTTCAGAGCACGTGCTGCTCTCACAAAGGACCCACATTCAGACTGCAGCAGCCACACCAGACAACACACACATGCCTGTTACTCCTGGTCCCTGGGATCCAATGCCTTTCTCTGGTCTCTATAGACACACACATGCATACAGCAAGCACACACACATACACACACATACACATAAATGAATAAGAAAACAAATCTCTTTTTTAAGTATTGTAAATTTAAATTTTTTTAGATAATAAAAACTGCTCAATTTAAAAAAAATCTTACCTTTTGGTTTTCATCTGGTCCCTCAGTTTGCTGTACATCTCAAGGACTTGAAAGAGAAAACAGATCAAACAGGCATCATTTAAACAAAATAAACAGCTAAAGGAACTACATCAACAACCGTGCTCCATTCCCAGCTCCTCACCTGGAAGACACAGCATTAACTTATCAACAGTGGCAGAAATATTTCTCTGCTGCAGTCGACACTGCTTCAGCTCTTCCATTGCTATTACCAGCTTGGCAAAAAGGGGGAAAAAAGAGAATTATGCCAAGAACTGTAAATAGGTTTTCACTTACACTTTGCTACCCTGCATTCAATTCATCCAAGAATCCCAGTTTCCTAGTAAGACCTACAATGCAAGCTAAGGAACTGCCTTCTTCCATCAGTGAAACACTCCTACATGCATGGCTTCCTACTTTCTCCCCACCCTGCGCACACGTCTAAAAGGGGCTGTGTAAAATGAACCCTAAAGCACAAAGGCAATCCAGGAAAAAACAAACATTTGCCCATTTTCTCCAAACTCTATGCAAACTCCATGATTTACATTTCCTTGTGAGTGCTGGACTCCAGGAAGATGGTAGCCCTTCTTATTGTCAACTAAGTCCCCATTTTAACAAACAAGTTCCATATTTAGAAGATACAGCTTTTATACAAGATCTAGTTTACTGAAGATTAATTTATTCTCTTCTAATAGTCATCTCACAATGTAACAAACTATTTCTGTAGAATATGGACTATGTGAAATGAAAAAAAAATCTATACATCTATTTACAGGACTACACACACACACACACACACACACACACACACACCCTAAAAATTATATCCCTTAGATACATGGAAAGAATAAAGACAAGAAAGGTAGATGACACAGAAGAGAATGTAGTTCAAGTCAGAAAAGGTGGACTTTGAGCTCAGCTGTGTTGATTATTATATAAATTTCAGATCATCTGTTCTTGGCTCCCCAGCAATAGCAGTCTTGGTTTTAGAAAAAAAATAAATAAATGGATGTAAAAGTATGAATTGTAAAAGTTTAAATGATGTTTGTCAACTAATAGAATCAATGGTTCTTTTTTAAAAGAAATTTTGTTGAGTACTCTCTTTACAACAGTAGCTTTTTAGAAAGATGAAGGAGGAACAATAATGAATAAAACAAGTAAAATCCCCCTAACCATATGGAGCTAATTGTAATAAAAGAAAACAGAAAAAAACAACCACATAAGTAAAAAATGTATACCAAAAGTATGATAGCACCGTGGAGGAAAAAATGAGGGAAAACAAAAAGAATCCAGGGAACGAAGGTGCGACTGCAGCTTGCAGTAAGACTCTCAGGAAAGACCTTCCTAGGTAATATATAAGCTAGGTGGGTGCACATGCCTATAAGCCCAGGACTCTGGAGACTGCGACAGGAGAACTGTTTTAAGTTCAAGACTAGCCTAGAGTACAGAGTGAGTTCTAGGCTAGCCTGGGCAACATAGTAATATCTTTTTTGAAAAAATTACAGGTATTTGGTATATTATCAGACATGAAGTAAGTAAATTGATTATAACAAAAAGGAAGGAAAGAGAGAGAAACAAAGGGAGGGAGGGAAAAGAAAATAATATAAGCCAGGTGTGATGGCATATGTCAGTAATCACAACATTGGAAAAGGGATCAGTTCGGAGAAGGCTTAAGTTACATGAAACCCTTACTGAAAAGAAGGAAGGAAGGAAGGAAGGAAGGAAGGAAGGAAGGAAGGAAGGAAGGAAGGAAGGAAGGGGGAGAGAAGGAGGAAGGAAGGTAGAACCATAAGAGAAGAGGTCTGAGGCAGGTGAAGATGGAGGAGGAACATTCCAGCAGATACGAGGGACTACTCAAGGATTGTTTTGTTTTTGTTTTTGTTTTTGTTTTTGTTTTAAACACAGACAAGAGAGGCCGCATTTTATTTAACTGCAATCTGTGGTATCTGTATTTATTCAGGTGTCTATTTTATTCAGGTAAACATTACAATAAGTAACAATTCCAACACATTACTTATATTCTTATATGGCACAAAGTGAAGAAAGCAGCAAAAAACAGAAAAACTTTGTCAAAAGGAAACTGGCCTTACTTCCTTTCCCTCATGCTGCAGCTTTCTATTAGTATCCGTCACTTGGTTCTGTGGAGAGAAGACAATGTAAACTCATAAAAAACAAGCACTTGGACAACAGTTGGATAAAGATCAAAAGTGAATCTGAAAGGACTGGGGTATCTCTAGATACGCTCTATATTACAGCACATGGGGGGTACAGTGCTCTCTCTGCAAGTTAAAACTTTATAGTCAACTTTTCTAACAGGCATCCCCATGACCTTTTGCAAAAGAGGAAAGCTGAACAAAAGACATGCTTGGTTTAGCTAGAACATTCCAAAGTAAGATATTGTAGTGTCCCAAGATCACTTTGTAACTTGGAGAAAGAAATAAAATGGAAAGTAATCCAAAGAGCTTTACCATCTGTACAAACAAATATTAACACAGACATTTCTTACTTTACAATATATTCCTGAAAAGGCTGGGTATAAATTCAACTTTTTTAACACATGTCAAGCTTATACTAATTATTATCTTATTCTACAAAATGAATTATTTAATAGTTTACAGCCATTAATTCATAATAGCTTCTAATACTTCCATATCACCATTAATCTCATCATGAGACAAAAATATGTGACTAAGCCTTAAATGAACTGAGTTATAATTTAAAGGAACAAGCACATATCTTTCAATTATCTACTTTTGATGTTTCTACTAATATAAAAAATAATTTTTTAGAATAGTAGTTTCTTTATCATCTCAGATATTATCAATACTAACTTCTAAACTTCTTCAACAGAGACTATCTAGGCTTTCACTAGTGACTTCTGCTCCTTATACTTTTACTGCATTCCTCAACCTAGTATTTCTTACCATGTCCCTTAGAGCACCAAGAAATGTTAGCTGATGATATTAATACATAGGCACACATGCATTACATACATACACACAGAGAGGGGAGAATAACAAAACTATAAATGTTCAGGAAAGGGACATAATATAGAATTTTTTTCCAAACTTATTTGATTCAACATGATCTCCAGAAACTAGTTAATTCATAAAACACATTTTTTATTTTTATCTTAAATTATACACCACACCTGGATAATAGAGTCCACAGCATATTTAAGCATACACCCCCACTTTCAAAGACAAAATAAAATCTGACCTCTCCAGAAAAGGATTCTATAAAATCTGAGAAACAGAAGCAATAAATACTCATATTACCTCTTTATTATTTTCCCAAGAGCACCACATGAATGCAGAGACACGGAGATAAACAGAAACTAAGTCATACACACAAACACAAACACACAAACACTGAAACAATTTTCAAGAAACAATGTTTACCTTTACTAGATATACTACACTCTTATTTTCTATTCAATTCTATTCTGCTTAGTTTCAAGTTTTGTTAGAAATACTGATCAATGTCCACTAAACTAATTTCATGCAAACCGTTGTCAAAAACATACCCATAGGAGCATAATCTATGTTACTGGTAAGAAAGATAGTAGCTATTTTAATTCTAGGTGATAACTGTTCAGCACACTACAATGAAAAGGGGCTACATCAACTGTGTATGGACACACTTTAATTCAAAAACAAAGATATGGCAGTGCATTTACACACACACTCATATACAGATGCTATGGACATAAAATAAAGGCATCATAGAAAGTGTAATGTCATTTTATTAATTTAGTGTTATAAGTGGTAACTTTCTGCTTCTAAGTTCTTTCCTAGAGTTAAGACTCTCAACATTCTTTAACTAGGTCAAACATGTCCCCTAGAACAGAGCTTACCAGATGTATAGCTAGACATTATTCCCAACCTCCAGAGTAACTCATTAGAGTCTGAAGTAGCCAAACAAAAACTTGAAGAATGCAGTCAGGTATTCCGTCAGAGGCATTCTGACCAATCTGAAGGAATTTGCTGAACCAATTTAAAGTAGGGGAAGGAGGATCATAAGTTTGAGGCCAGGTTAGGATACATAGGAAGAACCTATCTCAAAAAAAAAAAAAAAATCATCATCATCATCATCATCATCATCATCATCATCATCATCTTAGGAGAAGTCAAGAGATGAGAGAGAAGAAACCTGAAGTTTTATACTAAGGATGCTGGACTGTGTTCTCACAAACCTAACCAAAGGGAGCTATGCAGGCTTTTAAACCAGGAAAATAATGTGATCATATCTAAACTGTACATGTACTCGTTTTAGTATGATCACTTCATACCAACTCCGTGCTTTTGGCCAAGCTTTCCATGTATCTTCCTTCAATTCTACACTATAAAGGAGGAGCTAACAGTATGTACGCCATGAAAACAAAGCAAAGCCTGTTCTACCATGTGCCATGCAGTACAGCTTCTCGTCTTTTAGTCAGAGCGATCAGAGCCCCGTCTGGCAGCGCCTCCTTACTTTGAGTTTCTGGGCTTCCCCCCGCACTTTCAGCAGTTCAGTGATGGAGTCCACAAAGCCCTGGTAGTGAAAGTTGCACATTTTCTCAATTTCTCGGTCATGATTGCGGATACGAGTTTCTAGCTTCTCCATGAATCGTCCATGTTCCTCACCATCATAGACAGACCTTTAAAGAGAAAATGACATGAAGATTATAACTTCTGATAAAAAGAATTACAAACCCAGAAGAAACTTTACAGAAACTAGAATACTCAGGATATATAAACTAACAACAGTATCCAGTCTTGGTTTTGTTTTGTCTTGGGAAAATCCAAAAAAGTTGCTTTCTAGCTCACTTAAAAAAATTTGACACACCATAGGACTGTCATCACAAAGTAAAAGACTTGAGTTACAGCTCCTGTCCCTATCTCCATTAGCTCATCCAAAAAAACTCAATTTCAGTAAATTCACACCATGACTCCACACCAAGAAGCTGAAGATTTCTAAAAATCACACAGCCAGCCTAGCTGGATTCAATGTAACTACATAACTCAATCTAAGAGTCACTGAACATCACTACAAAATCCTAATGGAGATGTAATATCCCTTGTCCAAAATGCTTGAAAACAGAAATATTTCTGATTGGAAGAATTGGAGGAATATTTGTATGAGTTATCTGGTATATGAAAGGAAAGAAATTTAGAACTTAGGTTTATTTCCCTGGGTTTCCTATTAAAAAAAAAAAAATCAAAGTAAGAAACATGGATTTTAGCTGAGTGATTGTGGGGCCTTGGTCTTGGCACTGTAACTAGCTACATATTTGGCCAATTCAATGAATCCCTCTGCACTGCAGAGCTTTCTCGTTTACAAAATAGGAAACAGCAATCAATTACAGTTTCCATGAAGTACTAGCTGAGCATTAAGCTTTCCAATTGGGGCGCATAATGAGAGAGGGCAAACATTGTTAGGATCGTCAGCAGGTGGCAGTTTTAACAATCTCCTTATCAGTGTCACAGAGTTTCTATTTAGATCTTCATGATTATAACACTGTCCACTGTCTTCAATTATGATGTTGACTAACTTTAAAGGTGTACAGTGACCCCCTCAGAGTAGAAAATTTAAAAATTAAAGTAAGAATTGGTTGGAGTGGAACACCCAGGCCTGTAATACTAGCATTCAGGAAGCTGAGGCAGGAGCCAGGGCTACACAGTGATTAGTACCAAACCAGCCAGGGCACTATCTCAAAAAAACAGAAGAATTCAAATCTAAAACACACACATCTAAATGAATGAATGTAGACATTATTTAGGGAACCCTATATTTTGCATTTTATGGAAATTTACAGAATCTACAACAACCAGGCTCTGTTGATTCTTTGTGTATATGCAACTGAAAGGTTACATAGTTTCCATGTGGCTATAAAACAGGTGACTAGCATTTTGTGATTTTAATTACAAATTGCTTCTGCCACAGCAAAAAGCAAATGTGAACAGACCTTATAGTTCACACTGACTAGGCATTCCAAATATATTTCAACATAAGCCATCAATAAACAACAGACCCATCAGATATAAAAGGCACAAATAATTAATTATTAAACTCTGGAAAAGTTAGAGATCTACTAAGTTAGCCTTATACTGGTAGTCAATACTGTTCTTAAATAAGTACAGCACTATTTTCTCTTCTGAACAAAGGACTTAAAGTGGAGAAACACTGCCATCTAGTGATGACCAGTTTCTAATACTCCTTAAAACAGGAATTTGATATAACCAAATAAAACAGATTGCTGAAAAGAATCTAAAAACTACATTTGACCAATTCCGTAGGTCCAAGGCAGGGGATGTAGCTCAGCTGGTAGAGTGGCCCTGCATACAGAAGCCCAGAACAGGCAGTCTATTATGCCAACACTGAGGAGGGAGGGCAAACACAGGAGGAAGGCCAGGAGTTCAAGGCTACCCAGTTACACGAAAGTTTGAGGCCAGCCAGCACTACCTGAGACCTTATCACCCCACCCCACCCCCAACCAAAATATATATACATATATGGGAGAATCTTAAAAAGGTAGACTCTTTGAGACAGTGTTGTACTTCTCTGTGCTTCTGACACAAGACACATACATAACAGTTAAACAAGACTATGGAACAAACAATCATGCAGTTGCTTACCTATGTCATTACAAGAATATTCTAGTACTACGAAAAGTAAACAAGAAGAAATGCTTAGAAATTAACACTGATTTTGATAGCCTAAAGTTTGACTCAAGTGAAAAGGAGACCTAAGAGTGTGATTTCCAAAACCTCCCTAATAAACCAAAGGCTTTTACAGAAGTATATGTGTTCATACTAGTGTGCATTGCTATTAATATTCTTTGACACATCATAGTGATTCTATATCCCTCTCCCACCAAGATTTCAAAAGCATATTTTAAAATTTTTAACTGATAAAAAGTGATACTGAAAATTCAATTCAACAAATATTTGTCATTCTCCTATATATGTCTTGCATGAAGCCAAAATCAACCTCAATCTGTTTTTTACAAAAACAAGGAAGCAGCCACTTGGGGTAGTACACACACATACCCTGTGCACTCAGGAGGCTGGGGTCAGCCAGGGCTACAAAGGAAGACCTCGCTGAGAAGGCAGAATGGGAGCTGGACTGTAGTTGTGTATGCCTTCAACCTCAGCACTCCAGAGGCAGATATCTCTAAGTTTGAGGCCAGCCTTGGGCTACAAGGCAAGTTCCAGGACAGCCAGGGCTACGAAGAGAAACACACTCAGTGTTGAAAGGAGAGAGAGAGATAGAGAGAGAGAGAGAGAGAGAGAGAGAGAGAGAGAGAGAGAGAGAGAGAGAGAGAGAGAGAAGTTGGAGAAGGGAATTCCATGCAGGATGTGTCAGTTGTGGATTAGCAACTACATAGCAACTATTGACTTTTTTGGTTTGAGGAGTGACAACCCTACCACAAGAGGTAAGCACACTAAGTTACCTTGTCAGTGATCAGTTAACACATGGGTGTGTGATACAACTCTCACCCCTGAAAGGGAAATCTGTTAGGGAGAAGCCAAAGTGGAGAACAGGAGCGTTATGTCCCCTGGAGGATGCAGGAAAGAGGCTGCTTTCTTACTTAAACACCACCCTATAAAAATAAGGCACTTACTGGTGGGGAAGCAAGTACCCGAAAAGAGAGGAAAGTGTGTCAATAATCTGGGCTTTAAAAAGGGCGAAAGAGGAAAATACTGGGGTCCTGGACTGTAGAGAAATCCTGAACAGCTATCTCTAGATACTCTGCCTTTCCAATCATTTAATTTCCAATCATTTAAGCCACTTTGCCTCTATATTCTACTATTTGAACAGTAAAGTATCTTAAATGACAGAATGTTGTTCAGTTTTCAACGGTAGCAGGAAAATCAAAAAGACAGAAAACTAATTATCAGTATCCACTGCTTTACAGGACTCAGATCTCCAGCCTCAACTAACCTTCCCCTTTCCTTCATTTCAAAGTAAATCTCGTCCACTCTTACAACCACAGCTCGCACCTAACTTCTGAGGAACCATCTCTAATCACTCAGAGCCTTTCATGCCCATTTCATTTGTAATGACTGCCCTCACAAAATTTATTAAACTATGTTCTGATGGACTGTTCAATCATCAGTCTCCTCATACTAGACCATTCCTTTCCCCTTGGGCAAAGACTATGTTACCCATTTTATCTCCAGGTACTTTCACAGGGCCTGGAAGTGGAAGGATTCTACCATACACATGTAAAATGTGCAAGGAGGGAAAAGAAGACATGAATGCATGTGGTGAGATACCTACTCCACTCACACCTATTGGGGCGTGGGGACAGGTGTGGGCGTGACCAAGAGGGACTAAGAGGTCTGGGGTCCTAGACCCCAGCTCTCTCTCTTGTTTCCTGGTCAGAGACAGAGAGCATCTGGAGGCATCCTTGGGACGGGAACCTGCGAGCAGTCATCTGTTTCTGGTGTAAGTGATTTCTCCCTGAATAAACATCCATCAGCCTACAGTTTCCCAGATTCTTATTTATCCCCGCGATAATGTGGATTTGCCCTTGTTTCAGAGGTGGGTGCAAGAATAAGCAAGAAACCAAACATATCTGCTGAGATGTCTTGAAACCAAAGGGAAATTAAGACACAAAGGACTAAGCATTTGGGATTTTGGTTTTGATTATCCAAAAAAGAAGAAAAAAAAAATCCAGAGTTGTTCTAGTCTTTTCTTTTCGCATATCTTTTTTAACTTGCCATGGCTTTATCCCTCAAACATTTTCTTCTCATTAAACTCCATAAAAGCATCATTAGTATTTTTGTTTATTCCAAAAGTTAAAAATAAAGTAGAAAAACAGATTTGAGCATGATGTTGAAAGAGAACTACAAGAGGTCAAAAGAAGTTTATATCCCTTCTCCTTACTTCAGTATGTCTCTTGATTATATTCAAACTTCAGTATTACAATTTGGATGCTCTGGGTACAAGTGAAAATAAACCATTTCATATCATCATCAGTACCTGGAGAAGCATATTGTAATTAACGAAACCTGTGACAGTTAATATTGTTGATCTGTCAACTAGGAGACAAGCCTCTGGGAATGTCCATGATGCAGTTTCAAGATTCTATTAACCAATAGGGAAGACTCGCCATTACATGGGCTAGATCAGTGGTTCTCAATCTTCCTAATGCTACAACTCTTTAATACAATTCTACATGTTGTAGTGAACCCTGTCTTAGTTAGGGTTTCTATTGTTGTGAAAATGACCACAACAACTCTTATAAAGGAAAAACATTTAATGGGCTGGCTTATAGTTTCAGAGGTTTAGCCCATTATCATCATGGTGTAACATGGTGGCATGCAGGCAGATGTGGTGCTCCCAGATGTAGCTGGGAGTCCTACAAATCAACTTGAAGGCAATAGGAAATAGTCTGTCTCACTGGGTGTGGCTTAAGCATAGGAGACCTCAAAGCCACACCCCACAAGGCCACACCTACTCCAACAAGGCCACACCTCCTGTTAGTGCCACTCCCTTTGTAGACATTTTCTTTCAAACCACCACAGCCCCCAACCATAAACTTATTTTTGTTGCTACTTCATAACTCTAATTGTGCTACTGTAATGAATCGTAATGTAAATATCTGTGTTTTCTGATGCTCTTAGATGACACCCCAAAGGGGTCATGGCT